TACTTATTTCAGAGCTCCCTTCCCCACCGCCATTTCTGAAGTAGGGTCTGGACAGGAAATGTCAGCTTTCCTGCTCCTCTGATGCTGCCTGGTCTGCTGTGTTCATCCCGCTCTATACCTTGTTATCTCAGACTCCAGCATTGGCAGTCCCCACTATCCCTGACATTCACTGCTCTCACTCTCGCTCACACACACAGTCTCTCAGATACATGTGCGCGCACACGCATACTCCCACCCCCGTGGGCGAATTTGCATTTGCAGATTTGTAATTTGTAATACATTCTGTTTTGTTCAAAAAGCATACAACTTGTAGACAGTCAGTGGCATTTTATAAATTCCTACTTTGGAAATAAATCCAGTCCAACTCCAAGTTAAAACATAGGCAGATACTAAGCAAGGCCTCACAGCTAAAATGCATTGTCTGACCTGAGATGTCACCTCTGGTGTACTGATAAAACCTTTATTTATCTTGGGGCAGTGACTTGAAAGAAATTCTGAGATTTGCATATTAATCAATTGAAACCTGCATCATCTTTCCAACTGATTAAAGGTATAACCGCCATCTTAGGTTTGTTCAGTACATTCTCATCTGTTCTATGACTCCTTGATCTTTTACTTATAAATTCTTCTGTGTCTGATACCACCTCTGTCACTAACACATGAAGAAGGAAGAGTCCAAAAGCTTGTATTTCCAAACAAACCTGTTGGACTATAACCTGGTGTCATGTGATTTTTGTTTTGACTGTTTGACCTGACTAGGTACAAATTGACTGCTGCATTTGCTCATCAGCGACTACACTGCAAAAATATTTCTTTGGCTGAGAAGTATAACCTAAATGCAATTTTATTTACTTTATTTGCTGCTGAATCAAACATGTCATCTGTATTTTGACTTTCTGTTCCTGTAGATTTAGGCTATTGTGTAGATTTACAGAGATGCTTTGTCATTTCAGAAAATGTCTTTCTGGAGTTTCCACATAGTGAATGTCACGATTGTGTTCAGACTTCTGACTCGGGAATTGAAGCATTGAAAACCTTACCAAAGTCTCCAGAAGTGAAGAACTATTCGTGTGAATTCTGCAACTTCACCACTTGCCATTTCCAGAATGTAAAGAAGCATTATCGTAAAGTACATCGTGAGAATCTGTACTTTGAATGCAGGAAATGCCACTTCTTTAGTGGGAGAAAGTAAGCTTCCTTCTAAGCTTTGCTATATTAGCAGAACTGACGCTAACATGTAATTTTAGGCATTTAGTTGACTGCGCAGTTGCATTCAAGAAAGCAAATTATTGAAATATATTTTATATTTTAATATAAACTTGAATTTAATTGGTATTGGTTTGTAGGTGTAAATATATCCAATTGAACGAGGACTGCGGATCCTGCCAACCTATACTAACCATCAATCTTGCAAACGGCAATGCCGAATGCTGCTTCATTCTGTTCCAACTGGATGGGATTCATTACTCAAGTTTATTGTTCAAAATAAATGTTGGATGAGGGAAGGTGGCAAATAAAATACTAACAATAATAAAGGGTATTCAAATTTTGACCATAAGGACTGGAATTCTAGCCAGCAACAAGAAACACCTGGGTTACATGAATGCTACTGATTAATTTGCTCATCAGAGTGTCAGCATGACTTGGTGAGTCAGTTTAGCTGCCTTCTAAGCTATTTTGATTCCT